TATAGCGATGTATGTGTGCTGTTGTCTGGGCCAGTTACAGTATTATAGTGTGAACCAACTGAGATACAGTGCCACAAGGAATCTCTCTAATACACGCTATCATAAGGACGGTGGGATAGCCTAATAGTTAAAGCATCTTCACGCAGAAGATACCGTTTCCATTCCCCACATGGGTACACTGTATGAAGCCTATTTCTGGTGTTCCCTGCTGGATATTGCTGGAATATTGCTAAAATCCCAAATATGTTACATTTGACCACTTTTTGAAAGGCATGGTGCATTTATCGCTTTCAGCGATGAGATTCGTGCCAATTTGTATGTGATGTTAACTACCAGTTATCAAGCTTCCATGTTGTAATATCTTCGGTAGCTGAGTAGGTAAGGTTGCTGGCAATTAGCTGCTTCACTTAGAAAGTATGGGTTCAAATCACGGATTGGACTCAATCCAGAAAAGTACTAGACCCTGTACTTTACTGAGAAAGTATAATTCTAAATATAACATATTACATTTGACCCCATGAAAGTCACTGTATTCATTCTGACAGTAACGTAACTTATATGTTGAAAGGTATTCAGATTTTGTGATATACTTCCATCAGCATGAGACAAGTGCATGCCCCATGCCTACATATGTTGAGGAATAATAGTCCTCACATCCTCAGCTTCATCACAACAGCTTGTAGATGATCAAGTCTAAACAAAACATGAATTCTGTATCATGAGCATTGTTCCGGTTCATTGGGGACATAGACATTAAGTCAACCAAATCTCCACGTCTGAACAACCAGTCTGTCATGACGACAGTGTAGTGATCAGGTTTACAGTTGGGTAAACTCACCTTATAAATCTTCATGACTGAAGGCGGTAATTATGGTGTGATTATTGGAGTATATGGTTGTGTTCAAGGTTATTGCACAAGGTGATGTGCTTGCACCTGTGTTGCTGCGTGTACTAGTCTTGACTTCTGCCATTTTTTATTGCTAGCCCACTGTGACCCTGTGCTGCTGTTAAACATGGATACCTCACTCAAACACATACCAGGCAGGGCAGCAACAAGTACCATCTTGGTTTGATGCGGCCATGGTACAATTTAGCAAAATAAAATGTGCATTAGTGTAACCTATTTTTGAATAAGGCAAACTTTTGAATAAGTGTATCAAATAATGTGTGAAGTGCGTTTCAAAATCTTTAAACAAATGTCTTAGCCAGGCGGGGTAACAACCATCGTTGATGGTACAAATTAGCTACATAATATACCTGTTTTTGAAAAAGGTACACTTATATATATGTCTTTGTGCATGAAGTGCATGTCAAAAATGTTCTAGACTTATGTCTAAGCCTTAAATTTCCTCACAACATTATTCTTTGGATACATTAAAGATACCTCCAAGCTTTATTTACCAAACTACATCAATAATCCCGGTGTTGTCTGAATTTGTTTAGCTTTTGGAACTAATGGAAGCTTGATGTAATGAAACAGCAAGTACCTCAAGATTATGTGCATATTTCAGTTTTCATAAAATTATGGGACAGGGATGCAACTTGATTTTGTCTGATGCAACTAGGTTTTCATGTCAACATGCACTTGGAGCAGGTTAAATAAAGGTCTTTAAAGCCAGCCCTGGCAACCCATGGATCAAACCCCCTGGCCTTCTCCCTTGCAGTCAGACTCTGTAAGCCATGATAAAATCCCCTTTAGGATTGTGTAAAAGATTGCCCCATGGTGTGTGAAGCTGAATATGGTTTTATTTTGTCTGTTGATGTGTTTGCAGAGGGTAAATGCATTAAATGAAAAAAGCCATTATTTAGTGCAGTGTATATACCATGGGTTGTTACGTCTATTTATTCCCTGATTCACTGTTTACTTCTACTCAGCATACAATTTCAGGTTCTAAAAAGGAGTTTGATCTCATTACAATCTGTCAACAGGAAAGTTGGGGATGATTCTAAATTACTATTTCCAGGATTAACTTTGTTTGTCTTTTGGTGAGAATGCTTTGTTTTGAGCCATTTTAAGGTGCTGGGCCCTTATTCTCGAAACGTTCGTAGCCCTACGAACTTCTTAAGCCCATTGTTAACACATTGGCTACGATCAAAGTTAAGAATTCTTAGGGCTACGAACATTTCGAGAATAAGGGCCCAGCACCTTAAAATGGATGAATAAGGACCCTGATTACTGTGGTGTAGCCTAGTGGTGTGTGTGTATGCTTGTTCCATGGAGAACCTAGTTAGATTCCCCTGGGTTTTTAGTTTAAACATATTTTATTGACAGTGTGAAAAGGATCGGGGACAAGTTCTTTCAACTTATTAAACCCCTCTCCGAAGATATTTACAATAACTAATTACATCACAAGCAATTATTAGAAACAGAGACAGAGAAAGACTGAAAGATAACAGGGGGAAATGCTATAATACAAAAGGTGTATAGAGAGAAGACTACTGGAATCGTTTAGATTTGCATATATATTGATGTACATTTTTGAATATAATTTCATTTTTATGATTTGTCAGATCTGCAATGCTGTTTAAAATAACAGATAATGTAATCACAGAATTACTACCACATACATCTTGAATAGCTTTAAGCATGATCTTTCTATGTTGATTGTGTAAAGAACATTCTAAGAAATAGTGATGAGCATTTTCGCATGGGTTCAAACTGTACACCAATGGTCCCTACAGTTTTGGACAAATGTCAGTGTGGACTGGTGGATGAAATGGCGCACATGACTGCTCTGACGGAAACAACCAAACTCATAGCTATGTCATAGCTGTGTTGTGGATACAATGAATAATAATATGTGTCCCTCTAGATTCTTTGGTATTAGTATAATTGGTAACATTTGCATAGAAGTGACAACAGTCACAGCCTCCACAGACCATTGGTCAGGTGCCCTTTAGATGTTGCTGAGTTTCCCTTTAATTCTTCTTGTGCGAAGTAGTCCCATGTAGAATTAGGGTACTAATATGTAGATCCATTACCTGTCCACAGGTATATAGGCTTTACACTTATGACATTTACTGGGTGTCTGGGGCATTAGGGAAAGTGTGACGCTCAAGAGGACGTGTCTCGTTGGTGTTATGTGTAAGTAGGAGAGGTGCCTGTGCATGGGAACTGGAGCGCCATTAACTGTTGCAGTGGTATTATGAAAGTCCAGAAAATGTGTGACACTTGTGCAGTAGTCTGTTGTGTATCTTAACCTTCATCCTCTATAGGAGTGGTGGCATAGCCTAGCAGTTAAAACGTTCGCTCATCACGCTGAAGGCCCGGGTTCGATTTCTCACATGGGTACAATGTGTGAAGCCCATTTCTGTTGTCCCCGCTGTGATATTGCTGGAATATTGCTAAGAGTGGCATAAAATCATACTCACTCACTCTTCCTCCGCATATCATGGATTGTTTTGGCATTGTGTGTAGTGTGATGTCAAAAGTAGCCCTCTTATGTTTCACAGTAAAGTCATCTTCCACATCAGTTATAATTGATTCGATTGACTAATAGGCTAGGGTTTTGTTAAAAGACTCTCCAGTACATGATATGTTACTTACACACAAAAAACAAGTCGTCAATGATGGAATAATCATGATTTCAATTAGTGTTTTCAAATGGACCCTTCACAGATCTTGTATTACCATAGACGTAGTTATAATATTAGTTTGTGGAATGCGTCCCAGGAATGTGACCCTGTCTGCTAAGATAGGCTTAACTACTCTGAACAAGAACATTTTCTGTCCATTGACACACTTTTGAAAACTGAAAACATTCCATGAATAGAAGCACCCACTGTGTTTGTTTTTTTGTTTGTTGTTTAATGCCTCACTCAGCAATATTCCAGCTATATGGCAGTGGTGTGCAAATAATCGGGCCTGGATCAGACAATCCAATGATCGACAGCACAATCATTGATCAACGCAATTGGGATACGATGATATGTGTCATCCAAGTCAGCAAGTCTGACCACCCGATCCCGTTAGTCGCCTTTTACGACGAGCATGGGTTCTTGAAGATAATTCTAAACCAGATCTGCATGGATGTGTGGATCTGTGGTCTGTCTCAATCTAGAAAAATGAAGGACTTCAGAAACTTGAGTGTATGCTTTGTCTATTCAATGTCATCATCTCTACTTCCTCAGTCATGGGGGCGGTGGGGTAGTCTAGTGGTTAAAGCGTTGGCTCGTCACGCCGAAGACCGCGGTTCGAATCCCCACATGGGTACAATGTGTGAAGCCCATTTCTGGTGTCCCCAGCCGTGATGTTGCTGGAATATTGCTAAAAGCGGCGTAAAACCAAACTCAGTCAGTCAGTCAGTCCTCAGTCATGTCATGGTTCAGATCACTGGCTATCTGGCATGTTTCAGCTTTGTACCTGTGGTCTTGGTTTGACAATGCTGTGTTAGAATACCTCTACCTCTTCTAAATGTATATATGAAATTTTTCAGAAATCTGTGTAAACTCTCACTTTGCAGGGCGGTATACCTCAGCTGTCAGGTTTCACAGGACATGCTGCAAATGACTTGTTCAAACTGATTGTTCAAACTGACTGCTTTGACCTGTCCTATCTGTACTCATGATTTTCTCCAAAGGTGTTTGTTGTTTAGATCTCCCCATAATATTCTTCCTAAATGACAGCAGCATGTAAATAATCAAGTTTGGACCAGACAATCCAGTGATTGACGTCATGATCATCGATCCATGAATTTGGGATACAATGACATGCATGAACCAAGTCAGCAAGCCTGACCACCCAATCCCATTTGTCACTTCTTACGACAAGCATGGGTTACTGAAGACCAATTCGAACCTGGTTCTTCAGGGGTTAACTGTCATGACATGCAGTGCTGAGGGATTTGTTCCCATGTTATATTGGCAGGCTGTGATATCCATGAAAAACTGTTGATGACTTGGTGGTATGATTTCCTGCACTGATCATGCTCAGTGGCCGCTTCATGTCCATGTGTTATGAGGAGCAAGTCTCATGCTGGAAGTCTTATTCTCTGTTCCAGGTCCAACAGGCTACAGTATGGGTAAGTATTCGCACTTCGACATACACCATGTACTTTATTGATGGATATGCACATATGTATATGAATATATATACACCGCTAGCAGATGCTGTCTGGAGCAATATGACACACTATGATTATACTGAAATCATATTGGTATCCTGATGACATTCATTGAGCAATTAATGTGTGGTCAATTTTGATAACTAACGTATTCATGTATGGTTTCTAAGCATGCAATCGATTCCCCACATGGGTACAATGTGTGAAGCCCATTTCTGGTGTCCCCTGCCGTGATATTGCTGGAATATTGCTAAAAGCGGCGTAAAAACGTACTCACTCACTAACTCACTCTAAGCATGCAAAGGTTCTTATCATTATCTATGGCAGAATCTAGCTGGGTGTAACAGTGAAAGTAATTCTGAAAATAAACAATATGATGTCACAAATAATTCACCGGTCTACTTGTCCAGTATGAAATCATACATTGCATGAATGATCCCATCCCAGGTTGGGTCAGTAGATCCATAAACCATGTAATTGACTTGAAATCGTATTTAATGTACCCCAATGCTGCCATGAATGCTCTCCCTCTGTAATTACTTACTATTTCCCTGTCCTCATTGCACCCCTAATGTGTTACCCTGCTTAACTCACTGCCCAACGTCCCCCCCCACCTGATGCATCCTCCATATCCTCTCCTCCCTCTGGCTACAACATTGCATCCCCTAATGTGTTACCCTGTGTAACTCCCTGCCCAACGCCCCCCACCTGATGCATCCGCCATATCCTCTCCTCCCTCTGGCTACAACATTGCATCCCCTAATGTGTTACCCTGCGTAACTCACTGCCCAACGCCTCCCCCACCTGATGCATCCTGCCCAACGCCATATCCTCTCCTCCCTCTGGCTACAACATTGCATCCCCTAATGTGTTACCCTGCTTAACTCACTGCCCAACGTCCCCCCACCTGATGCATCCGCCATATCCTCTCCTCCCTCTGGCTACAACATTGCATCCCCTAATGTGTCACCCTGTGTAACTCACTGCCCAATGTCCCCCCCACCTGATGCATCCACCATATCCTCTCCTCCCTCTGGCTACAACATTGCATCCCCTAACGTGTCACCCTGTGTAACTCACTGCCCAACGTCCCCCCACCTGATGCATCCACCATATCCTCTCCTCCCTCTGGCTACAACATTGCATCCCCTAACGTGTCACCCTGTGTAACTCACTGCCCAACGTCCCCCCCCACCTGATGCATCCGCCATATCCTCTCCTCCCTCTGGCTACAACACATGACCTGTTACAACAAGGATTCTATGACACTTAGACTTTATAAATTGAACAAACAAATTGGTTACATTCTAAGATCAAAGCATTAATGTATACTTTTCCTATATACATACTAGTATATGCTCACCATGGCTTTTACTTCTGGTGATGAAGTTAACCTCTAAGAACTTACACACATTTTACTCAGAATATTTTCTCTGATATATCTCTACATTTGCATGTATGCTCACAATGGCTTTTATTTTCGGTGATGAAATTAACCTCTAAGAACTTCCACGCATTTTATTCAGAATATTTCGACTGATGTATCTATCTAAATTTGCATGTATGCACACAATGGGTGGGGCTTTTTTGGAGATAGTTATCCATCTTAAATGATGAAGGGCTTGGAGTCACCCATCCTTGACAATCCTTGCCTCGTCAGCATGCTGATTGGTCCAACCTCTTTGGTCATGTGGACAAAGTGTCAGACCTCAGATCAGAAGGTCCACGTTTGGAATCCAATCACAGGAAATATTATGGCCACTAATTTGGCGACCAACGGGGAGCTGAGCAGGTTCATATCTACTTTGAGCAGAATAAGTCTTGGTACTCAGAAGATGCCTTCTGATGACTTGGGAGTAGGTAGCAGGGCGTGCAGTTGTCCTTACCATGTCATCTCACTCATGGGGTTATCTTCTTTGGATATGTGGACAAAGCGTCTAACCTTAGATCAGATAGTCTGTGGTTCGAATCCCATCAGGAGTTGTATGGCTGCCACACAATGCTCACTTTCATGCCTGTCACACATCATTCTGCTTCTTTGACTCCCTAGGCTTCAGTCATTTCATCTTATAGGACTCCAAGGTTTGATGCAGCAACTGAAATCTTGATGTGTCACAAAATGTTTTGTGGTGGATTCCACAAGAATGGTGGCTAATGGTTCAATCATCTCTCACAATGGGTACAATATGGGTCATTTCTTGTGATGACAGGTTGTTGGATTGGTACTGTTTATAGAAGGGGCGGTGGGGTAGCCTAGTGGTTAAAGCGTTGGCTCATCACGCCGAAAACCTGGGTTTGATTCCTGACATAGGTACAATGTGTGAAGCCCATTTCTGGTGTCCCCCGCTGTGATATTGCTGGAATATTGCTAAAAGCGGTGTAAAACCATACTCACTCACTGTTTTAGAATGTGGCGGTACAGATGTCACATCCAACTCAATACCTTTTGATGATACAGATTCTGAACATTGCTTTTTGGCTTTTCTCAGGTGGGCATACTACTTATTTTTTAACTATGCAAAAACAATCACGTAGGTGTGCTTTTTTACTACAAGTGTGTACATGGCAGCAGGACCATTATCCATCTGTAGCAATGCTGGTGGTTGTATCATTACATGTTTTAGATCATAATATTCTATTTTTTGATAAAAATAGATTTGACCTGGTCCCCTGACAATGTCATTAAGGCATGTGCATGTTGTTTTCCCTGCAGCATGGAGCTTGTTGTGCATGCAATCGTCATATATAGTTGATATTTCCACAGAACATTTGACATAGTACTGTGTTTTCTGTCATTGTCGAGTCTTTTGGAACCATTTGAGATATGAAAAGTGTTTTTGGATTCAGTATTGAGGAGACCATGTCAGCCATTTGTACCTATACATGTACCAGTGGGGCATGGTGGGCCATGGTGGGCAAGCTGTCTAAGGTGCCAGGCTAGTGATCCAGCGAGCTTGGAGGTTCCGGGATCGAGCCCACCTGTGACCGGGTGTAAAAATCTTGGAGTCAACTTTGTGTGCAGACTCTTTCAGTGTTGTCACAACCCATAGTGTACAGTACACAACCCTGTGCACTTAAAATAACCCACAAATCCATTGGTAAAAGACCAGATGGTGGCCACATGAATACATGCAAACACCTAGTTGCGGGTACAGCAACATGCAGTAAACTTGGACAAAGTACTGTGATTATGTGTCTCAGTCCATCCAGCTGTGAATGGGTACCCTGTAAGGATGGGAAGGACATTATCTTGATGCGTCTAATGGCTGCAAGAGTTGTATTATCCCCAGGGAGTTGAGATTGAAAATATGATGCACCATTGAGATTGACATCCAATGATCGAGGGAAAAACAAAGTGCCTTTGAGCAGCTTAGCTGGATTTTGGCGCTACACATATATTAGTATGGATGTGAGCTCCGAGCCTTCAGGAATCCATGCTTATGGTAAGAGACAACAAACGGGTGGTCAGACTCACTGACTTGGTTGACACATGTCATCATATCCCGATTGCATAGATCAATACTTGTGCTTTTGATCACTGGATTATTTGGTTTGGACTTGATTATTTACAGATCTCTGCCATATAGCTGGAATATTGCTGAGTGCAGTGTTAAACAAACAAACAAACAAACCAATGCTTACATGTTTGTCCTTATCTGGTACGAATGCTCTAATGCTGTGGTCATAAGGCTGCCTAATCCCCTCTAGTAGTGGCTCATCATCCACTGGTTGGAGCCATGGAAGACCCTGTTGTCTAAGGCACTGCAGTTCGCTTCGCAAAGTTGCGTTTTATTGGCATGCATGATCTTGGGTATGAATGTTGGTTTGAATTGTTCCTGTTTCTGGGTTTGTCAGCATTGTAACAACGGTTTTAAATTTAGCCGAAGTCGACATCTCAAACCTCTTTACTGAGGACTTTTCTCCTATGTCAAGCTAACACACCATGATGACACAAATACTGTTCAAGGTGGCATTAACCTAACTGAAATTAATTTTAGGTTATTCTTCATTAGAAGGTGAGTACTATTTCATGCTATCATCCTCCAGCTTGTTGATCATGGAGAATGTTTAAACCTCACTGTGCACTGCTTCTGCATGGGCTTGGCTTGATGTGAAGAACAACTGCGTAAAAATGATATTGATATGACTGGATAAATTTAATGCTCACATGCAACGTAAAACACAACTTTGCAGATTCTGATACCTTTCGGTATGGACTTACAGTAACAAATTATCAAAAAATGCAAATTCAACTTATAAAGTTGAAAAATAATGCGATGAAAAAAACCCCGTGTTCAAACGATTCACTAAATTCACCCCAGCTGGGGTGAAAAGTGGTTTCAACAGCAGTGTTGCACTGCGCTCATGGCACATGCGCAGTGAATAGGTTTGCACAGTATTATTCGTTACACTGCTATATAGCGTCCAATCAAACGCTAGATGACAGAACAGATTTAACCAATCAGACAACGGCTACTATTTAGGGTTCGGCGGGACTTACAAAATGGATTTTCTTTTCCCCCGGTCGGCAACACTGATCTCACAACAAATGAAAACCCGCATAAAACACAGCTGTATGACCTGGAGAATATAGGCTTTTGGGTTTCCGTTGACATGGTTATCATTAGCTAATATTTCCGCAAGCTGACATCCTTGAATACTGACAAAATGCTATTTGCAGCGACTGTTTACTCACAGTTGTGGCGTGCTCCGTCTGCATCACTCGGAAGCGATCGTACGGAAAATAGCATTCGGAATCGTTCGGGTACAAAACTTTTTCGAGGTAAAAGTTTAAGGGGGTATGTGCGAATGTCAACTTTCGCGATTTGGTAAGCTGTGGTCAATTTAAAAGGTTACCTGACGCAACCTTCCACAAGGTTTTGTTAGACTCAGTATAGCAGTGTAACGAATAATACTGAGCCTAAGTTTACTTAGTCTGGTAAGGCATTAAAACCAGGGGGAAAGCTCTGATTCTAGGATTTACATCATCACCATCCCACCTGACCTTACCATCCTCCATATCATCATTGTCATGGACACATGGCAGTCACATGATAAGTGCATGTTATTATAAAACATCATGTGACCATAAGCTATTTGCATGCATATTATGTTTATTTTGACAAATCCTCCCATATGAACATAAATAATTCTTTCTTAGGTTTCATTTCCAACTGTGTTTTTTCTTTTAAGATTTCTTCTTAATTATGATTACAGAGGTGATTTTGTACTGAAAACTTTAGTGGTACCTGGTAATGATCATAAATTTTGAAGTACAACGTTTTTTCCATGATCATGTCATGTTGTGTTGATGACAACATTGATTTTTATATTTAAAAAAAGAAGAAATCAAGCTAGAATTTATTTTAATCAAACTATCTGCCAGTGTGGTGATGTTTTACTCAGAAAAGATATACAATCTCCATGGTATCAGATTTTGGATGGGGTTCTTTCACATATAAAGTTGAGCCTCAGGCTATTGCCGAATCCAGATTTCCATGCTATTTCTGTTCAGGTATAAACACATTGGTGTTTATTTTTTGCCATAAAATGTGAACCCTGGCATGCTTGTCTAAAACTGCATCTACCAGAAAGTAATGGCTTTTCCAGTCTTCCTCGCACTGAAAGAAAGCAGTTGTCTACCTTTCATCTGTCTGGAATGTGTATGCTGCCTAATTGCCTAATTTACCTGCGTACCTTGGGCACTATCTAGCTTTAGCCTCGAATGTTATCATTTAATACAAGGTGAGGTTATGTTTCCTGTAGAAGTGGGTTCAATAATATTTTGAGAAAACTTGAGTTTGAAATGGATCTGCCAGGATTTGCTACACAGGTTTTTGTGAACTGGTTTAACAGAGCTTCTCATGTGGCATGTTTCTTGTCATGATGCGAAATTTAATCAAATTTGTCAGCAGGTAGCCATCTGGTGGATGGATTCCTATTATACGGGTTTAGATCATCAAGGTTACATAGATTTTGCCTAGTTATCACAGGTGTGATGTGTATGTCTGATGATAACTTTCAATCAGTGTAATGTTTTGTAAGCCTTTGATTGGATATTGAAAGAGCCAATTAGTTTATCTTAAACGGTAAGGAATTCAGAGTGAGTGAGTGAGTTAAGACTTTTAAGTCACATCGGCAATATTTCAGCCATATCGTGACTGCAAACAAGTTATAATTTTTACAATAGATAAAGGTAAGTTATAAAAACCTGTCAGCGAAGGACAGTAAAACAACCAGTTTATCACAGATTTCAATTTAAAACTAGTAATTAACACTAAAATACACTAACTATAGAGGGCGATACAATATAAAAACAGGCTATAGATCGCCAACAACTGAAGGTAGAACACCACACTAGGGTAAGGAATTCAGATGTTGAACTTGTAGGGCGTTAATCCCTTAAACTTTTCCTTGTTTTGGTGTTAATATTATAAGTTTTAGATATATTGAAGTAAAGGTGTATTGCAGTTGTACTTTAAATACACAATTGTATTGTCAACTGTGTGTAATTAGTTGGGGGAAAGCTGCAAAATTGATGATGCAGCAATATTCACTCACTCAGTATGTGTAATATCAGATTCAATAGTTGCATGTTTTAAAAAATAAAGTTTACATGATAAAACATCAAATTTCAGATTTTGCCCTGTGCAGCATAGCAAGTGTTGTAACTTCAGATTGTAGTTACTTCCCTTTGATTTGAGTTATGACAGGCAGGAAACTCACCAGCTTTGACATTTGCAGCAATACTTTATTCAGTCCCATCTCATTGATTAGTGTAATTATCAAGCCTTCAAGCTGGTGTAATACTATTGTAGTGTTCAATAATTGCAGTAAAATCTTAACCGTGAAGAGAGCACCAACTATCACCAAGTTAATACCTAGTTCTAGGGTGCACTGGTAAGTGACAATATCATGCAGGTAGCTATTCATTTGCTAAGCCTAAAAAACATCTCAAAACAAAACTGAATTATATTTCAACCAGCCAAACAGCGACTAATTGGGTTTCCAAAATGTCACGGTTTCTGTATTGACGAGGATTCAGTGTTTAACATGCAGCCCTATTGCAAAAAGAAATCATCTACTTTATTAAGTTTATAAATCGTGTGTATGTAATCACATGCTGTATTATGGGAGAAGGTAGGGTGAATATTTGGGTATAATGTTTTATTCAAGATTATTGCCATCTCATAACAACTTGCATGCTTGTGCTTGTGACTTGTACTAGTCCAGACTTACTCTGGTTCAATAGTGGGATTCAACTGAGAACGAGCACACTGACTCCATGCTGACCGACCTGTAAAGACCCGGCTTAGAACTGGTCTTCTGTAATCAGTGTTTGTCGTAAAGGACGACTAATGGGTGGTCAGACTCGCATATACCTATGAAGATCCAAGCTGAAATTACCGTAGTCTTCAGCAATCCAGGCTTGCTGACTTGGTTGACACATGTCATTGTTTCCCGATTGCATAGATCAATGTTGATGATGTTGATCACTGGATTGTCTGGTCGAGACTCGATTATTTACAGACTGATGCCATATAGCTGGAATATTGCTGATTGTGGCATAACACACACCAACCAACCAACCAACCAAGCTGACCAGTTTGTGTTTTAGTACCTTAATGCGGTATCAGAAAGTACAAACTTTATCCCCCCAAAATGTTTTTAAAGCAAGGGGATAGAACCAACAAACTGTCTCTGTCTACAGAGATACTTTATTCACTTGACCATGGAGACAATGCTACCAGAGAATGATAGACCTTTCAGGGTGGGAAGTATAGCAAGAAGTAATTGGAAAATTTGATAACATGTCCATTACTTTCTGACAGTTGACAAATTTTTATTCCTGTTAGTGTAGGTTGTTTTTCAGATATGATGTGGGGTTTTTTTTAGCACAAATAGATGTTTGACAAAATATATTATATTAGTTGATGAATCAGGGCAGGTATTTATTGGCTTCTTTGACATCCAGCATAAATAGGATTAAAACTGGTTCTCAGAATCTTGCTTCGATCATTCCTCATCTATCTCAGCAGTAAGGACAAGAATGAAATGAGAATTAGCCTTAAAATGAAGGTGTCCTTGTGCGATTATGTAACCATGGAAACCAAGTCCTGATGAGAAAAGAAATAGGTAGTTTTGAGGGATGTGTGGTGGATGGCAGAAGTTGTTGTTGCAGGTGAGAAGAGTATAGATTTAATGTAATGAGGTAGACTTCAGTGGGGTGTCAACTGGGGTAAGGGTGATGTTGTTAGGACTTAGGTGGGGTGGACTTCCATTATGGTGAGGCAGATGTGGACTGGGTTTGGGATGAGGTTGATATTGGATGGATTTGGATGAGGCTGGGGTTGGGGTTGGGATTAGGAGGGGGTATGGATGACTTGAGTTTGGGTGAGGCAACTCACCAGGGTGACTCACCACTTGAGTTTGGGTGAGGCAGATGTTGAAGGACTGGGTTTGGGATGAGGCTGATATTGGATGGACTAGGATTTGGGTGAGGCTGGTCCCGTTGAATCAACTAAAAATTGTGAAGATGAGGCAGTATTTTCCACAGTCTGCTATAAGGGTCGTAATTGGTCAAAATCAGACACGTGACCTAAAGCAGCCAATCATGTTCTGACAATGGATACCGTCCCTCGTGAAACGAAAACCTTTAGATTTAGACAAAAGTTTTGGGTAAAATAATGCTATTCTGAACATATTAAGCAGAAATCGCTACCTATCGTAAATTATGGAACTTATTGGACATATCGAGGTAGGTTATGACCTGGGACAAAAATGCTTCATGTATATATTTTCGCATTAAACATCGTGTCCGGCGTGAAGATTGTGACAGCCGAGATGTCACTTGTCAGTCAGTGACTTGACTTACATTACATGATCGCACAAAAGATGGAAATAGTGATTTTATATGTACGTTTGACAACTTTTATGAATGTTGTTGTTGATTTTATTCATTAGTTTATTCAATTTATTTAATGAATTCCTCGAAACATCGTTACTTTTGCTCTTT